CCGTCGCGCAGTCCGTTTTGCTAAGAAGGTTTACTGCGATGTCGGCCCCCCTCCCTTGGGCGTCCGAGTTCTTAGTTTATTATGTCGTTTCTCACCAGGGCGGCGCCGAAGCGCATCCACTCCGCCAGGCCGCCCACGCGCGCGCGCGAGTTTCTCCGGGGCGTTGTCCCCCGGTGGGGGGCGCAGCAGCGGCAGTTGGAGCAGGTCGTCTTTTCTCGTGGCGAGGGCCCCGACGCGCGCAACAAGCGGAAATGGAAGCATGAGCCCAATTATGCCAGACCGAACTTGTGGAATGAGACTCCAAAGGGTTTTCTTGGTGGCCTGTGGGTTTCTTCCATCGGCGACTCCACCTTCTTTTCCTTTGCGAAGTACCTCCATTTCATGAAGTTCGCTTTCGACAAGGTCGAGCTGCCCGTGCCAGGCCATGTGAAAAAAGGAGTTACGGTCGACTGCCTCTCGTCCTTCCCTCCTTCTGATGGTGTCAAACGTAGATGGGTTGATCTTCCGAGGGTCCGCTGGGATGGTCTTGTGCACTTCGTCTTCTGATTCCTCTTCCATTTCCTCCTCTGCTCAGTCTAGGTGTAGAGTTGAGATCCCTAGTGGTCCCAAGTTGATTGTCCAGTCTGACGGCTTTTACGTCTCCTAGACCGCCACGGTGCAGAGGCAGCTCGAAAAACTCGGGCCCCGTGGTCTCTGTGCTCCTCCAGCACAGGCCACTGGTGTAGGCGCGTGTTTCGCGAATAGCATCAACGAGCTGACGCTCTAGCTTCCGAGGCCCTGTCTACTAAGCACCCTCGCTCCTTCGCTGTTCCGCCGTTTCCCTTGCACGAAATCGCTTACACCACTGCGCAGTTCGATGGTGGCTCCAAGGAGGGCCTGGCGCCGTGTGGCTGGCACCTGGACGTCGCGCGTGTGTGTGACTCGGCTGGTCTCCCCACCTTCCATATATATATATATATATATATATATGCCGAGGCCGTTTTCTTTTGGGGTGCAGGCGGTGTCACATATGGGGAGCTCCAAGGCCTTCTGCAGGTGGTAGACGTTATCCACAGTTTGCTTGTGCATCGTGCTATTCGTTTTGACGTCCTTGCGCGTGTGCATGTCAGGTGCATCTAGTTTTTATAGCTGTTCAGATCCCCATGTGTATATATATATATATGTATGCGTATCACCCTGTCTCATTGCATCCCCACAAGTTGGCATCGCATGCGTGCCTAGGTCGCCTGGCAAAATTCCTCATCATCCCTTCCACGGTTTTGCTGTCCCTGAGACGCCCATTGCTTGGCAGAGTGCGCGCAAGGATTGCAAATGATGTGCGGGAGGAGGTATGCATAGGCTGAACTCCTCCATTTCGCCAACGTGCGGGTGCGGGTGGATCCGGCGCATCATCACCGATCTCAGAAACTTTTTCTTCCCCCCCATCCTCCTCTCATCCTCCGTTCTCCATTTCACCACATGTCCTTTTCCTCCTCCTTCTTCTCGCCCTCCGTATATCCGTCCCTCTCATTCCACGTTCATGTTCTTTCATCCTGGTGCCGAGGGCGGGGCTGGAAAGGGGGAGGACCAGCAGCATAAATGAGGGGGAAGAGAGGGAGAGAATGAAGGATGGATTAGCTGGAACCAAGATGAGCAGCAAAAGCAGGAATGGTGATGAGGAGGAGAAGCAGGAGCGAGGAGGGGCAAGAGGAAGTGGAGGAGGAGGCCAATCAAAGTCGATCGTATCGAAGCCATCTCTTCCGTTGCTTGCACGGGCTGCGTTCCCGAGACTCACGGCCAGGCCTCGTCGTCCTGCGCCTACGACGCGTTGCAGGACGGACCTTGCGCCTGCCGTCGCCACCCCCGCCGCCGCCGTCGTCGGGCCCCGCGGCCGGCGCAGGATGCCGCCCGCGCAAGCACGCGGCTCATACTCCCAGCAAGCCCACAGTGATCACGTTTCATGTTCCTCATGATCTCTCCTCCTCCTCCTCCTCCTCCTCCTCCTCCTTGTCCTCCTCCTCCTCCTCCTCCTCCTTGTCCTCCTCCTGCTCCTGCGCCGCGTCGTTGTCGTCCTCCTATTCTCCCTGGCCGGCTGCAACGGAGAGAGTTCCCCGTTCCATCAGTTGGGAAGCAGGCGGTTTTCCCGCACGGACATCCTCTTGGTCTTGCGTCTTGCTCCTCCTCCTCCTGGTAGCAGGAGTGAACAGGACAAGCAGGGAGTATGAGGAAAAGTATGAACAGAGACGCTGACCTCCCTTTAGCAGGGAGTAAGAGGAAAGGTAAGAACAGAGATGCTGCCCTCCTTTCAGCAGGGAGCACGAGGAAAGGCAGGAGCAGAGATGTTGACCTCCCCTACGCAGGGAGCAAGAGCAGAGGCAAGGGCAGAGATGCTGACCTCCCTCCCGACCCCTCCCCCACGGCCCTCCTCCCGGGCCTCCTCTGCGGGCCCCGCCTCGGCCGGGGCGCGGGTCTGCCCCCACCGAGAAGGTGCGGCCTCCTTCAAGCCGCGGGCCCTGGCCAGGGCTTCTCGGGCCAGCAGGGCGCACGCAAGGAGCAGTCTCGACGCAGTTGCTGACGTCCACGGAGGCAGGTGAGGGGGATGAGCATCAGAAAGTGCAGCAGGAAGTAAGAGGAGAGAACATTGAGATCAGGGGGATGTGGAGTAGGAGGAGGAGCAGGAGGAGCAGGAGGAGGAGGGGGGTGAGAGGATAGAAGCATCGGGAACAGAAGACCGCCCAGGCTGAGGCGGCTGCCAAGACCTCGTGCGACCGCCCACCCCTCCCGCTCAGAAAACGCTAGCGAGCTGCTCTGAGCAGCGAAGGACCACCTCCACGCACCTGGATACCCTGGGATCTGACGTTGCGGAAACAACGCAACACCGCGGAAAACCAAGACCATAGCCCTAGGCCCCATACCCCCATCCTTCTGCCTGCTGCATTGTCCGAGCCCGATCGATCCGCGACAGACCCAGAGCCCGAATCAGGGCAAGATCGCCCGTTGTGGAAAGAGTGCGACGCCAGGATCTCAGCGTGCCTGGGCAGGCCGGTCCTGCGAAGCTCAGCGCGGCCGACCGTCGGCCCGTGGGCACGGGCACGGGCAGCGCGCAGGAGGCTAAGACCACTCCCACGCTCTCGGCTCCTCCACAGCCCGCGGACTGCTGCCGCCGCCGCCGCGCGGCGAGGCCAGCGATACCGGCACAGCCACCCGCGGACGCCTTCCACGGCTGCGACGGCGAGGCCTTCAGCTGGACCGCCGCCTTCGCCACCACGAGCCCCGAAGCACAACCGCCTGTACAAGCCATCGCTTTCCAGAGGCCCGCGCGGATCTCCTGGACCTCGGCCGCGCGGCGGCCAGGCCGCCCGCAGCAGCTGCAGCGCGAAGAGCTGCCGCTGGCCTCCTCCAGTCCTCCAGCGCGAGCGGCGGAGGGCGTGTCTTCGGAGACCTCCGAGGGCACCACGGCCCTGGGCCGGAGAAGGTGCCGCCCCCTCCTTCCCCGGGCCTCTCGGCCGTTTCCCTTCTCCTCCCTCGTGGGGCTCACTTCGGACGGGGCTGGGACGAGGATAAATCCGTTCCAAAGGCGTTCCAGAACGCTCTCAGGGCATTCCGGAACGGTCCGAGAAGGCCGCGGCGCCCGAGACATCCTCCAGAATTGCCAGATCCCATCGATTCCCGACTTCTCCTCACCAGATGTTATGCTCGCCCTGGCTTCGCCTTCTCCTTCCCTGTCTCCACCCTCCCCTGCCCCATCTCGCGCTTCCTCGGCCGCTCCTCTCGTCGCTCGTCCCTCCTTCCCTCGCTCGCTCCGCCCAGTCTCGCGTCTTCGCTCCTCGTGCGTCCCTCTCTCCCCTCGCGCGCTCGCGCCGCCTGCTGTCCCCCCCCTGCAGTGAGGCGCTGTTCCTCATGCTGCGCCTGCCGACGCGCCATGGGGCGTGCGGCCACCTGACGTGGCCCGACCTCCAGGCGCGCGGCACCCTGCCAGCCTCGTGGCCCCGCCACGGGGTGCAGCGAGCTTCCGCCCTCACGTCCCTCCCCCTTCCTTCAGTCACGGGGCGACAAGGCGCTGCCATGTGCTTCGACCGTGTTGCGTGAGCTCCTCGCCGATGAGCGAGCGGCCTCCCCTGCACGTGAGGAGGGTTGTCTCCCCGTGTTGGGGCGGAGGGCGGCCCGCTGTGCGATGAGGCAGTACCCTTCGTGAGGCAGTCCTCCCGTGCGGGTTCGCTTCTCTGTTCTCCATGGCTCTATGGTTCATGACCATGAGGACTGGGAGACTTTTGCCTGCAATGGCAAGCTGTTAAGGCATATGGGCGACTTAAGAAATGTATATCGACTGCGCGGACACTCGCGCGTAAGATCGTTATGCCATCTCGCGTAAGACACTTATTCCCCTTTCGTTCTGTTGGAATATTGGCGAACAGTGTTGGCGAGTTGGGTAAGCTTTCCCTGCGCACGGAGCCAGCGACCTTGAAGGTTTCGCATCGCCAGTCGGTGTTGCTTCACTTTTTTACCAAGCACCTCTGACGCGCACGGCTTCTCTCTCTCTCTCTCTCTTTCTCTCTCCTCTCTCAGATGGAATGAACGTACATTCGCAGATCCAACTGAGACGCCCCGGCGTACCCGCCGTTCCCTACACGGGGCGCCCTCTGGGCGACATCGGCTCCGCTCCTCTCCGCGCCCTCCGTCGAAGGCGGCAACGATTACCGCGGGCGTGCGCCGCCGCGCTGGCGCAGCGGTGCTCCGCCCTGCGGAGGACCATCCTCCGAGATCCGACGTTACCACAACATTTGCAGCCTCGCAAAAATCACGACCGGAGCCTTCGACCCCATCTTCTTATGGCATTTTTCGAGCCAGATCGATATGTGATGGTTTTTGGACCCGACGCAAAGCAAAATCGCTCGTTGCGAAGCGATGGTGAGGCCAGGATCTCAAGGTCGGTGGCGCGGAGGCGGCGCGCCAGCAGCAACACGACGATGACGGCCACGGCCACAACCACGACCACGACAGCGACCGCGATGGCGACGCAGCCGCGGCCAGGACCTCCGCCCCCTGCTCGTGCCCGGGGAAGCGCCCGGCGACCTCGCCGCCCTGACGGCAGACGAGTTGCTGCTGCGGTGGCCCCCCGTCGGGCGGCAGCGGCGGTCTGACAGCAATGTCGACAGCGTAGGGGGCCGGAAAAGGAGGAGGGAGGACGAAGGAAGGAGTGAGGGAGCAAGGAGGGAGGCGGAGAGAGGCGGTGGGAGGAACAGGGGAGACGGAGGAGGAGGAAACAGAGGAGAAAAGGAGGAGGGAGGACAACAACGAAACGAGGACGAGAGCGAAGGAAATACTAGGACCGGGTAGCGAGTAGGAGTAGGAATCGCCCGAAGGGTGGTCCGATAAGTAGGAGTAAGCGCGGCCGCCTCGTACGAACATGAACACGAATGAAACGAGGAGGAGTAACAAGGGGACACCGAGGGAGGAGGAACGGGAAAAGGAATGGTGAACGGAAAGGGGAAGGGAAGGAAACTACAGATCAGTTAATAATTTGGTAATGAAAATGCTGACCTGGTGGGGCGTGGGTTAGTAGTGGTGGGGGAGTGGGCGCTGGATCGCATATGTCTTGAAGGCACGAGGCGCTGGAACCATTACCCCTCGTAAATCTGGGGCGCTGGAACCGACGCCGTGGGGCGCTGGAACCACCGCCCCTCGTAAAAAGTGGGCGCTGGAACCCATCTGTCTTCAATGCATGAGGCGTTGGATCCTGTGTCCCCTATAAATTGGGCCCGTGAACCTCACCCCATTTAGGTTAAATGTGTATAAATCGTGCGGGGGACGGGTGGGAGACGGGCACGGGGGCAGGTGGGGTCCTAGTATTGTAGTCACGCCTCGTTCCCAAACGGGGCCTGTTCGCACGCGCTGGTGCGCGTGGGAGATCTCGGTCGGTCGGTCTGGTCGTCGATCGGTCGGTCGGTCGGTCGGTCCGGTCGTCGGTCGGTCGGTCGGTCGGTCGGTCGGTCGGTCGTTGTTCGTCGTCGTCTCGGTTGGTCGCTCGGTCGGTCCGTCGGTCGGTCCCGTCGTGGGTCGTCGGTGTGTCGGTCGGTCCGTCCGTCGTCGTCGTTCGTCGTCGTCTCGGTCGGTCCCTCTGTCCGTCTGGTCGTCGGGCCTATTCGCACGCGCTGGTGTTCGTGCGATGTCTCGGTCGGTCGGTCTGGTCGTCGGTCGGTCGATCGGTCGGTCTGGTCGTCGGTCGGTCGGTGGGTCGTCGTTCGTCGTTTCGGTCGGTCGGTCCGTCCGTCCGTCGGTCGGCCCCGTCGTGGGTCGTCGGTGTGATGGTCGGTCCGTCCGTCGTCGTCGGTTGGTCGGTCGGTCCTTCTGGTCTGTCGGTCGGTCGGTCCGTCTGGTCGTCGGTCGTCGGTCGGTCGGTCCGTCGGTCGTCGTTTGTCGTTGTCTCGGTCGGTCGATTGGTCGGTCGGTTCGGTCGTCGGTCGTCGGTCGGTCGGTCGGTCGTCCGTCGCCGTCGTCAGTCGCCGTCGTTTCGGTAAGTCCCTCCGTCGGTTGGTTACTCGCTCGATCGGTCGTCGTCGGTCCTCGGTCGTCGGTCCTCGGTCGGTCGGTTGGTCCGTCGTCGGTCGTGTCGGTCGGTCGTCGTTGGTCGTCGTCGTTTTCGCCGTCAGTCGTCGGTCGGTCGGTCGATCCCTCAAGACGCGCTTCTGGGGCCAAACAGGCTATGGATGCAATTATGATCAAGACATGACACACGCCCCCCTTGACGCCTCCTATGCGTGCATATGTGCTTTAACATTTCATTACCAACAACATTCACTTGACTACAGGGCGCACCTCCCCATGTTTTCACTTGTGCGTACAGTCTTATCCCCTCCTCCTGCTCTTCTCCGTCAGCGTGCTCGCATGTCCCACACGTCTTTTACGCCCCCCAACACGGGGATGTGCGGTGAGGGGGAGGAGGGGGTTGACCAAAAAGTACAATTCGGGGCAAGATCGTGGACCGATGTCATGTGGTCTCCGTTGTGCTCGGTGTCTCGGGCCCGCCGCAGGTTCCATCGCGACTCTGGGGTCGTGCCAAGACGCAACTCTGGGCAACCTCCCTGCGAGTCCCGGGGCGGATCGCGGCGCGGATCGCGGCGCGGGTCGCGGGTCGCCCCCGGGCGCGGGTCGCGGGCGGGACGTCGGCTCGTCACGGGCAGGTCGCGGGCCGGATTGTCGGGGCAGATCGGGCGATGCGCGGGGGGGGTCCGTGGAGCGACGGCGGAGACAGCAACGAGAACCAGCAGCGCGTAAGATTTTGTTTGCTCCTCTGGCCAGGTGACGTCGCCGTAGCGGGTGATGGCATGAGCACTACTTTCACCAGGCGCATCCCACTATTCACAAAGTGCTTACTCGCAAACGTCAGAACCGAAAAGACATGCTTGCCTTTATGGAATGGATCGTAAACCCCGCGCGGCGGATCCAGGCCATCTGCGAGTTATTGTGGACCGCGCTTCTTCACAACTACCAAGATAATCGCCACCAGGCGTTGCAGATAGGAGCGATGGCGGAAACCGCCTGCCAGCGAAGCTGCGTGACATTGCCTCACCCACGCATTTAGGGACAGGATGAGATTGCTCGACCTCCGAAGTCTGACACGCGCGGGTGACAGTGGAAATACCGGCCGAGCTCCATCGTCTTTGGGATGCGGAGATCGGTGATTGGATGGAACGAGCCGCAGTCATCGGCCACGCGCAGAGGGGGGTAGGAGGAGGGGAAAAGGCTTCTTAGAAGCACCCCTGCTTCTTAGAAAGCGCGGCCTTATCTACAGATGTAAGGCCTGCGCCTTCTAAGATTCAGCCTCCTTCTAAGAAGCCTTCTCCCGTTCCCGTACCCCCATGCGCGCCGCGAGGGACTTGGAACCCTCGCATTCCGCGCTCCAGCTTCTCCGAACGCCACCGTTGAAGGACATGTATCCCAGCGCGCATGTGCACAAAAGCGCACGGTGCCAAACACATCCAGGGTGCTTGCTGGCATTGATTAGTCCAGGAGGCCAGTTACTGATCTAGCGCATGCGTTTACACGACCCTTCGGACAAAACCACACCGTGGTGAAATCGCATTTGGTGTTTGGAAATGTTTTTTCTGTCACCTTCCTTGGGGGAATTCGATTGCTTCCTCAGTTGTGTACAATTTTGATTGATGCCGCCTCACCTGGGAAAGTCAGCGGGTATTTCGATGGACGGGGTGCAGCTGGATGCCTCCTTGGGAAATCGGCATTTGTTTACACATTTGGCTCTATTTCCGTGGAGTAAAGTCGCCTTATCTCTCTGCGGCGAACGCGCTTGAGTACATGCACGGACAGTGCGGGGTGGTTCCTTCAGGCGGTGAGTGTGGTAATTCGATGTGGGTAGCTCGTTGTTTTTTTACTGAGGGACGTTATGGTTGATTCTTTGTATGGCCGTATCTGAATCGTTTGTTTGAAGAGAGTCTGGTTGACCCATAGTTTTAGGTGAAGTTTGATGAATCCCCTCACGTCTGAGAATAGAAGTATGCCCCAACGTGCACAGAAGGGCCTCTCACTAAGTCTCAGAACAGTAGCCTTTGTGAGCAATTTACGTGGCCAGCCATGATCCCGAGTGTAGTTACTTGGCCCCTGGTTGCCGGCAAGTCCAGCATTGATTCCGACTGTTCCCAGTTCGGTCCAGTCTTGTTTTGTTTCCCGATTGTTGTTTCTGATTCGGTCTGAGACGATGGTTGTTCGGAAACTTCCATGTCCCGCCCTGTTGTCGGTGAAAATTCGGTAACAGCTACCGATCGTGACACTAGCGGTGAACAGTCGTGTAACAGTTACGAACTGAGTTTGCCCTGGATGTCGGATGTATTCTCGGCCGGCTTTGTCCCCAACAGTTTCCAATACAGTCTTGCGTTCTGACCATTGCAGTCTCGGTTCTGTGCCCTGGATGTCAGCACCTTGGTCGGCCAGCTTTGTTCCCGACTGTTCCCACGGCTTAGTCTTGTGCTTTATTCGTTGGCAGTAGATTTGGCTGGCCCTGTTCCAGTCTGTGTCCGCTTCGTGCATGCGCCCTGGTCGGCATTTCCGCGCTCTGGATGCTTTGTATCGGTCATGCACTTCGGTTGTCGCCACCGGTTATTGCTGGTCGACTCGTTCCTGTGCCTGGCTGTCGTCAGTTTTCCTGGTCAGTCCCTTTCTCAGCTCGGTCCTGCGCCGAGGTCAGAATCTCCACACTGCTCTTGGCTGTTCCCGGCTCGGTCATGCACCCCAGTCGTCGACGATGCGTTTGGTTGGTCGGCTTGCTCCTGTGGTTGGTTGTCTGCAGGTTCTGCGACCAGCCCTGCTCCCGATTGTGGTTGGTTCGGTGTTGTGCCCGAGTTGTCTGCAATGTCGTTGGTTGGTCGCGTGCTTGTTCCCACCTCTGTCCCGCACCCTGGTTGCCGAACATGTCGTGTTCCCAGACAATGCTTGCACCCGCGGGTCTTCACTTCTCTTACTGGGTGACCGGGTGGGTCCCACCAGTTTTTGCCCAGTGCCCGCCCGTGAGCGCCGTTTGGGCGCCTCGTGCGCTGGCTGGGTGTCCCGGGTTTTCGTGCGGTGCTTGCCCATGGGCGATTCGTAGGCGACTCGCGCGCGGGCTAGTTTCCCCGAATTTTGCGCACTGCCCGCCCGTGGGCGCCTCGTGAGCACACTGTGTCTTGGCTCGGCTCCTCGGGTTTTCGTTCGGTGTCCGTCTGTTGGCGCTTTATGGCTGCCTCGTGGTCCCGTTTTTCGAGTGAACGCAAGCGACTCATTATCCAAGCGGCTTCCGCCATTCCGCCGACCCCCAGAAGAGGAGTTGGGCGGCTTCCATTTTCGTATGGGCTGTTTGTCGCTTCTCGTCGTGCTGCCTGCGTGTAGTTGTTTCGGATTCGTCCTCCTCTTCCTCCGCGTCTGTTGCAGGGTTCCTTGAGGGTCTCTTAAAGGACTCGAGGCCGGCCTCTTGAAAGCCGTTTGAAGGCTCCTGGGGACTTCGGGGGGGCCTTTTGGAGACTCTTCAAGGCCTATCTGTGGCCTCTTCTTGGGGGCATGTCGGGGGTCTTGATGGCCATCCTGTGGGCCAGGGTTCCCTCGCCCTCTGCAAGTTCCCCCT